CCGTCTGCAGAGGCGTGTCATCCGAGACATGCGCAACGCACTCGACCGGAGTACGTCACACATCTGCCCGCCAGCGGCATGGGTCTCTTCGGGGCGTGGTTCGAACAGGAACAGGATCACGGCAGTGATGGGCAGCCAAGAATGTCGTGGCGTCTGCCCTTGAACTGGGGTTGTCGGAGCACTACGCCGACTCCGGCATCGTACTTGTCCGTCAACAGGGTCCCCAGGGAAATCCTCTCATACGTTTCAGGTGGCCGCGAACCAGACGATAGGTGAGCAGACGGGTGAAGGTCCGGTTTAATGGCAACTCGGGATGGTGTTCCTCCATCAATTCCCCCGATGCGATGTCTTAAGACCGATAGCGGGTCTCACGAGCAGCGGCGAGAAAGTGACCACATTGTTCTGGTCATCCTGTGGTGGGACGACTCATAGCCTCCGAGCGAGGCTAGAGACTTCCCGACGCTGCCTCGATTCTGGCCAGTCTTCTTGCTGCGCCCGCAGCCATCTCAGTAGACAGCCGAATGCATCTCGGGGCTCCAATAGGACTTCCGGCGGTGAAACGTTCGGAGCAACATCAAGGCGAGCTCGACGCGGATGGATCCTCCACTCCATCTGCCTCGTGGCAGCAACAGCCGTGCCGATCCCATTTCTCCTGACTACCTAGACTTGCCTCCACTCTGACACTACTGCGGTTGACCCAGTTAGTGCCATCAGTAGTCGTGAAGACGATCGCTATCAGCATTAGTAAACAGCGTAGACAGACAAACGATGGAGACAACACGGAAAATGCCGCTCCTTTGTCCGTACCTTTGGATCCCCCCCTCCCCCCCCAATCCGAGTTCTTGCAATTCCGAGCACACCACGACCGAGGCTTGAGGTTCTCTTTGGCGAGATGGGGCTGCTATTACCACTGCCGATGCTGCTAACGAAAGGGCAGAGGCCCTGCGCCTCAAATTCAAACAGTGTAACGACGGCTTCTCAGCTCTGGCTAAGCTCTGCCGTCGCTATGGTGCCTGTCTCGTGCGCGAGGCTATTGAAGCCGCCCTGAGTCGATAGTGGTGGGGCTTACAAAACAACCGAGTTGCACTGGCAAGGAGTTTCCTATTGGCACCCTGGCTGTGATCGACAGAGGCGTGCAAATCCCGAAAGTTTACTGAAACCCTGGAAAAGCCCACACAAAGCTGGAAATGCACGCCTAGAGCAGACCAAGGACTCCAATGGAACACCGCCCCCCCCCCCCCCCCCTTCG